TTCTTTAGTACTATAACCCTCTATCATGGAGGCCTCTGGGTATGCTCGATTATGCATGTATCGTCTTAGAACCGACATGAACCGCTCGTTGGACCACATTTCATGCAAGTAGCAAGGGCCCAGGGCCTCTATCTGATGAACCATGTGAATCATGAGATGTGGCATTATATCAAAAAAGCGAGATGTATACACATCTCTAGTTGGTTTTGGGTCTCCACCACAAAATCATGTAGGTCACTCAACTCTTTCTTGCTAATCGTCTCTATGAGATCTTCGTAAAGAAGTAGCACATGCGGGTGATGGCCATTTTCAAGAACTCTCGCTTTATAGCCCTGATTGCATTGGGTAGGAACACTATCAGCATCACATGACAATCGTGAGCCTTTAAGTTTTTTATTGATAGGTCCTTCATCGACACTAGCCTCTTCATGTTCGATGAAAACCCAGTCGGAACTTTGATCCCCTAAGGAAAGTGCAGATTGCCCTCCTCTCTTCTAGGGTCAGGTTGAAGCTAGCCATGGGCAGAGTGTATTTTCTATAACCCTCAGGTACCTAGTGAAGCTCTGCCTTCACATTTAGCTGAACCATGTCTTTTCATGATTTCAGACCATCCTTTGTCTTGCCTGTGTCCATCAAGGTAGCAATGAGACTCTCAAAGACATTCTTCTGCATGTGCATAGCATCAATGGCATGAGGGACCTCCAAGTCTGGGCAATAAGGCAGATACTGAAAGAAGATCAACTATTTCTTGAAAGGTATGCTGGCGACAGGAGGTGTGCTTCTATCTTTCTATGTCCCACCCGGATTCTTCTTTCTGAGAACCACATGTATGTTTTTCACCACTTCGAACACGTGTTGCCCATTTTTCCGTCTCTCTAGAGGGGGTTCATTCTCTGGCTTGTTGTCATAATATCTAAAGTATATCTTGCTGCGGTATTTGTGATTTGTCTTTAAGAAGCGTCGGTACTATAACGACCCAATTTCTCTACAACCACCCAGACCCTCAATTTTGGATATTTAACAAGGATACATTGCTTTTCTACTTCACCAAGTGACCCATGAGCCGGACGAGCATGAACTTAACAATAGTCAGCGCACCCATTAAGGATCACATTATCAACCGAAGTCATCACTGATCAGGTTGTTAACCCTTGGAACAAGTGAAGTTACCCTAATTGTCAAATCTTGAATGTTTGGACTAATCCATGAGTTCAGAGACCACCAAACAATCCGACTTGATAATCGGATCATCCACCAGTAACTAAGATACATGCGGTGAGTGGGGAGTGAGCTATCCTCCACTCCAAATTTGGCCCCACCTGTCATATGCACGAAATGGAAACACCAAGTCTTAGCTGAAGCAGCACCAACCCATTTCACTCTCCCATTTCTCCCCCTCCCCCTCTCTCTCTTGAAGAACATGAGTGAGGAAGAACTAGAGAGAGAAGATGAAGGTGGAAGTGGAGATGAAGGTGGAAGATGAAGTGAAGGAATGCAATCCAAGGCCATCATCTCATCGAGGTCAAGACATCCTTATCTCATGATCATGGTTAGCTCATGAGCTCTCATCTCTTTAGTTGAAGATTTCTCTCAAACCCTAATCTCAATCTCTCATGCATGTATGGATCATGGAGTGTGGTGACCTCTCATTCATCACAATGGCAAGATGTGTTCAACCCCTTATCATGGAGGCTAGCATCTCATGAATCCCAACCTTGGAGTAAGCTTTCTTACTCAATCTCATGTATTGGTCACAAGTGGTTTATGGGAAGAGATTTAACCAAGCCACTAGATGCACTAGTTAGCCAAAGACTCAACTAGCCTTACCCTAGCATATCCCTAAGATCATCCCAGAAGTCTAGTGCACATGCATGGATGTTCACCACTCTAAAATAGCAATTAACCAACCCCAAAACATAGAGCATAGGTTCTGTCGCCCATTTGGCGGAGTGTTCGCCAATGCGGCGGAGTGTCCGATAAACCTTCCCAATCTAGTAAATCTCTTGGCAGAGGCACCTAGGCTACTATGAGCGTGAATAAAAGAAGATCCGACTATCGATTGGAGTATCCGCTGAATTATAAAGACTCACAGCTAGAGAACCCGAGAGCACTTAGTTCCCACCGGATCACCCGTCACACACTTCAGGGCATCCGATGAGTTACATACACAAAGTAACCTAGTAACCCAAGACTGCCCAAAACATATTGGAGCATCCATAAAACCTGCGGAGCATCCATAAAACCTGCAGAGCATCCGCCAGAGTTGAACAAGAGTCAACAAGAGACAACCCACCTTGGTACCCCATACAGCGGATTGTCCGCCAGTAAGAACGGAGTATCCGACAGTCACAGAGAGTGTGAGTTTGACTAACAAGTTTACCCAGCAGTCAACCTTACTAGTTAGTAACCCAAGCCAGCAACACAGTAGTAGGATCACTGTTAGATGTCTCATCCCAGGATCCAATAGTGATCTATCCATGTTCCTTATCATCGTTCTGAATCGTCGGTTAATCTCCCCAATAGGATCTATCTCGTTCTTTTCAGGAATCGTCTCAATATGAAGCATGTGTAGGATGTCATCGTCAACTCCTAGATGTCTGAACGGCAACACCATCAGGCAGGCACCCCACTATTATAAACCCTACTTTGGATACATATCAAGTTGCATTATGAGTCATGCATTACATGTAGAGTTGGATAATGATCTCTTCACACTACACCTAGAGTAGCTTAATAATCTGCTAGAAGCCTCTCATCTAAACAATGGGAATGGGAATGCTTAATACTTATTGCTTAGTCACTTGGGCAACGGTAGAAGTCAAGCTTGAGAAGGGAACTCATACTCGCGCGTGTAGGATGTTACACCTGGATAATTTACTACTAAAACCAATGAGGGTACAATGTGACTTACCTAACTAATCTGGCTAAGGACTAATGTTCCTAATATGATGAACCTGAGGATAACTTGGATATCTTGCTCATGCGAGGGGTAGGTCATCGTGAGTGTGAGCTCTCAGATAACATAGCTTGTGGAGCAGTAAAGACCGTGTATTGGGATACATAAGTCCGAGTAACCACCCGTACGGACCACATGCCTCGGATGGGGTCAACAAGCCAAGTAGCTAGTTGTGACCTGTTTATCCATGAAATTGGCAAGGGAGGTGGCGCCGGTCAGGAATGTTTGGGACATTGACCGGAAACCCAGTCGAACCTTTCATGTGACACTCGGGCCGGATTAGGGAAAGGTTGGAGAATGTGAGGAAACCCTTACTACCAGACCCGGTGTATGGTGGTTAGTCCCGTTTTCCATGTGGGTACAGTTGTACACCTCTGTAGAGTCTTGAAAGCCTGGAGTCCCCAGGATGGAACTATTCGGTTGTTCTTTCTTTCTTTCTATACCCATGGTAGCATGAACAATGAACTATGAGCACTTTGTTTATATGGTAAATACCTTTACTTCTATGTATAGCATAGCATGTCATACTCTTAATGAACATCATTGCTTTCTGCACTTATACAAATGCCCGATAACTACCCTATGCATCCACCAAATACTATATGTTGGAATTAAGTCCCGCGAGTATGCAACGTACTCACGACACAACTATTAAGTTGTTTTGCAGGTAGTCAGAGCACCTTCCCGAGCTTAGTTTCGGTGAAGGCAACAGCTAGCATTCCGGTAGTGATCTTATTTTAAAATTTGAGCACATAAACGATCTCAAATAAAAGTTGTCAACTACAAAGTTTAGATCTCATCAAGCACTACAACTTTGTTATACAGCATGTCTTCTTCTAAGGCCATTTAAAAATTTCAAATATTTAAGTTTAAAATTATTAAAACTAATAAACAAGATATTTGGACCCCTAAATGATATGAAATGAAAAGGTTGTCAATTATAAATTTAAGATCTCATGAGTTGCACAACTTTGATATAAATTTTTTCTCTATCTGAGTTTTTTTTGAAAATGTTACAAATTTATTGGCAGTTGTTTATAGTGGCTTTGGCAAATAGTTAATCACTTCTCAAAATCAATTTTTAAGGGTGTTTGACTTAAGTTTTCAAATTTACTCATATACAAATATAGTTGATATAAGAAACCGTCTCTACAAATTTTGTGTCAACCATCCATTTCTAGTGGCGGTGGAGGAGCTTGATCCTAGGATCCTAGCTGGACGATAGGGGAGGTTTTCGAGTACTCCCTCCATCCTGAAATATATAAGAGATCCAGAGTTCAAAATTTGTATCAAATTATAAGAGATTTTAGGTGAACAGACAATTCAAAAGGCAAAACATTCACATGCATACCTACCATTAACGTCTATCAGCAACCCAAATATGGTAATCAAGGAGGATTATATGCGTCAGCTGTCTTACTACATGATGTCCTAAAATTACTTGGATACCTTATATTTTGTATTTTATGACAGAGGAAGTACACAACTGTGTCTAGAAAAAAATCGTATGCATCCATATAAATGTTTTGTGTAGTAGTGAGACGCCATATATTTGTCTGACAAATAAAGATAGCAATTTGCTTGAATTTCTACAGCATGAACAGGAAAGTGACTACTAGCGCATATTCATCGTTGTCTTTATTTAGTTATGAAAAGCACATATAATATATTGCATCCAACATAGTACATAGAATCCATGGTGATCCAACACCATCTCAAGATCGATGGCGGATATTTATTATGTTACTGGATATTACATTTCAAATAACAAGCAGGTTCAAAGTACATAAAATCTAACGCCAACTCTAGATGGCAGATATTATTTGCCATATTCTTCTAATTGAAAGTTCCACGAGAATTTAAAAAAACAATCAAGATTATTATCTGCTTAGGTCCATGGTGCTCCATGAATACTCTAAGGCAGACCCTCTTTATTTAGGACATCATCATGCCAAGCCACAACCCACAGTATATAAAAATTCCAGGTGCAATCTTACGGATACACTTCGAAGGCAACACGAGCTCCAAATTCCTTTAGAATCTTCTAGTCACTGAACCCTGCTTTCATGAAGATGTCACGCCATTCATTTTCATCCCGTTGCCGTCCTTTTGTCATGGTCATCATGCCAATGTCCATTAAGAGGTGAGTTTCCAACATAGGCCCAGAGTGGTCAATCAGAATATCACCAATGATAACTTTCCCGCCATCCTCTCGTGAAGGAATTACCTTCCGGCATTGAGCCAGGATCTTCACGCAGTCCTCATCAGTCCAGTGGTGCAGCACAAGCTATATATATCATGCATAGATTGGACACACAGTTATGCAATGATTTGTAACTGAATCCGGCAGTGAGAAAATACATTCAATCTACAAGCTACTAGAGCTTTATCTGAGCTTGCAAGAGTCATAAACATTAAATTGACAATATTTCGATTTGTCATTTAGGAGGTGTGAAAATCGTAGCGGTTCAAACTAAAGTTCAATCTTTTGTTGTAATTGTAATCTTTAATTTGAATTAACTAATTCATGTATTTTGAGTAGCCAAGCCACAATATATATAATAAGTCAATGGCATCTAATTCTAAGCAGGTTATTATTACCTTTAGCGCCACAGTTTGAGCAGGTGGAATGAAATTGAACATGTCACCTTCGACATAGTTTATCATCGCACCATCATCCGGTTTGGTGGCGCCAATCATCTTTGGAGGTGCCAGCACAGTGCATTTTATGTGTGGGAAGGCCTTGACAATGGCCCTGGCAAACTTGTCATCACCAGAGGTACCACAGAAGTAGGTCATCGACTGAATCCCCTCAAACAAGTCCCTGAACTCCCGCAGTGCGATCTCAATCCCAAAGTTGTCGTGGGCGTCCATGTCTTCATTTGCCATGTTGTGGAAATCGGCGTCGAGGCTCTCCAGGCTCTCTTGGAACAGAGTCGCCCCATGCAGCTCGCCAGCTCCTCGAATGGCGGCGTCACCACGTCCTTCTTGAACAACTCGGCCAACCCCATCGCCGCTTCGAGGTAGCGCGTCGAGGTACAGGCGAGCACCAGAGAGGTGTGGTTGATGTGCACCTCGTCAGGGATGCCGTCCACCAGGAGGTAGGACACGGGGTTGATGCGTACCTCTCCTCCGCCGCGGTCTTGTCGACGGCGAACACGCCCGCACGGGCAAAAGCCGCAGCAGGCGGCGAAGGAACGGCAGCTTGGCGGACGGGAGGGACAGCGCGGGGATCAGGTCGGTGGGTGAGGCAGCCCTGCCGTGGCGGTGGATCGCCGTGGGGATGCCAAGCTCCACGGCGCACCTCAGTGACATGGGCGTCAGGTAGGAGAGGCTGACCCACCATAGGTCGGCTTGTGCCTGCAGTAGCTCGGCGTCGCTAGGGCGGACTACATTGGAAGCCTGAGAAGCCATTGCTCTGCGCAGCAAACTTTTAGCTAGAGTGCTTCTGTATGTGTGTGTGCTGCCTGCTGCTGAGATACGTTGGGCAATGGGGAATTTATATACTCCATCCGTCTCTCGGAAGTCGGAACACACAAGATGAAAAACTAGTCAGCAGTAACTCAGTACTGCTAGCAATAAACGCATGTACCATATGTCGGCCAGGATGGATTCGGATGGCAGAAAATTTGAATTATCTGATATTCGTATTCGATTTTAGCTAAATATGGATATCCGTATTCGTTTTCATTTTAATATGGATGTCTAAATGGATGTATTCGTATTTGAATTAGAAATCCGGATTCGGATTCGGATATCCGAATTCACACCGGATACGAATGTGGAACCAGATACTATCCATATCCGCAGTGCTCAGTTAAACGATTTTTTAGCTTCCAACGACGCCTGGCCACTCGCGCCCCCACCTCGCGCCATGGCGCCCAGCCGCGCGCGCAAATCCTCCGTCTCACGTGCAAAATCCCTCCGTTCCTTCCCCACTCACCTCATTAGTCTTCCCCATTCGGCCATCCTTGGATTCTCCTCCAAATTTCCCCATAGCTGGTAGCTCCCTCGCACTCGCATCGCATCTCCCCTAACCCTACCTGTGCGGCGACGGCGGCGGCCTCCTGACTGAAGCATCCCCCGAAGCTCCGCTCCCGTACTCCGGCACTCCCAGCCCCAGCCCCTGCAACCGCAATCCCTGGTTGTCGCCAGCCCTGATTTCACCTTCATCGACCACCACCTGGTAAGCCTCTGCCTTTTTCTGGGAAGCAAGATTTTTGTGACCAAGCAAGTCAAATATTGAGAAAAAATGAAGAGGGAGTCTATGTCTGCATCATAGGTGCACAATCTCCCTGTGATTTGAAGGTGACTTTTCTAATTTTGTGTATTCTTTTGCGAACATAGTGCGTTGTAATCATTGGCCTGCATGTGAAATTGTTGCATCTACTTCTTCTTAGTGGTTGCTTTTTGTGAAATATTTGACATCAAGTGGTTATGTACTACATTTAAGAAATAGCTCATGATTGCAACAAGATGACTGAATAAGATATGATCGTTGCTGCATATATGCCTCTCCAATATTTAACCTTGTGTTCTACAGGACTAGCCAACTAAGTCATTGAGAACCATGGTTTCAAGAAACACAAGGTCATCAAGAAATAATCAGGTATATTCACTGAGATCAACACCAGCAATTTTTGTTGCCCAATCTATCAAATTTTGCAGCCTCATCAATGATATTTTTGTTTCTTGCAGAGATCAGCACCAACTGAGAATGAAAGAGAGCTAAATGACAACGTCAATGTGAATGCTAGTGAGGCTGACAAAGAAGCAAGTGGTGCAGCTGCTACTCAGACTGAAACTGAGTCTCCAACAGGTCGTAATTCAGCCCTCAAAATCAAGCAAGCGAAGAAGAAAACTTCACCAGGTTGGAAGCATTTCAATGAGATATTTGTTGAAGAAAATGTGGATGACATGGTTATCAAGAAGGCAATGGCAGCATGCATGTATTGTGATGATGTTCTCACAGCCCCAAGCAATCAAGGTACGACACACCTATGGAATCATTACCATTCATTTCATGATGATGCCAAAGAGAAACCTAGCATAACGAAAAAGAGTTTAGATAATTGGAGGTATGATGAGAATAGTAGTATCAGAAAATACTATATTGCAATTATCATGCATGAGTATCCAATCAACTTTTGTGAGCATGAGTATACAAATGATTTTATTAGATCTTTGCACCCAGATTTCCCAATAATTGGCCTCAAGGGTAGTAGGACCAAGATTATGGAAATATTTTATAATGAAAAGAAAAAGCTCTTTGATCATTTTTCCTCTCTTGAGTGCCGGTTTAGCTGTACCATGGATATGTGGACTTCAAATCAGAATAAGGGGTACCTATGTGTAACTTGCCATTTCATTGATGATGAATGGAAGATACAAAAAAGGATTATAAACTTCATGCATCTTAAGGGAAGGCACACAGGAACCAATTTGAGTGCTGCATTTTTGCAAAATATGACCTCATGGAACCTTGATCATAAATTGTTTGCCTTGACCTTAGATAATGCATCTTCAAATGATGTTTGTGTGGACACAGTCATTTCTACTCTTAACGGTCATGGTTCTGTACACTGTGCTGTCAAGTTCTTTCATGTAAGATGTGTTGCACACATTATTAATCTCATTGCTAGAGATGGTGTGAACACAATTTCAGCTGTTATTGCAAACATTCGTGCATTAGTCCTTATTGTCAAGAGCTCCCCTTTGCAATAAGAGGCATTTTCAAAGCTTGTTGTGGAACTGGGAGTAGCAGAAAGAGGTCTTTCTCATATGGAATTCAACTTACTTAATGATAGCACATGCTCTTCACTTTAAAAGTGTTTTTCAGAAGCTTGTGCTATGTTATCCTGACAAATATAGTTCACATGCTCCTGCAAGAGAGAAATGGGATTATGCTGCAGCCCTGTGCAGCTACTTGGAAATATTTTATGATGACACTAAACTTCTCTCAGGGTCCCATTATCCAATAGCAAACTTGTTCTTTTCTGAATTTTGTGAAATTAACCTCAAGATTATTGAGTGGCTGAAAAGCAATGACAAATTTGTTGTTTCTATGACTAAGTCAATGAAGGAGAAATTTGATAAGTACTGGGATATGAGCAATATTGCTCTTGCTGTTGCATGCTTCTTGGATCCAAGGTACAAGATGAAGGTGGTTGAATTTTATTACAGTGAGATGTCAGATGATTACGGATTTGATGATATATATGAGTTCAAGAAAATTCTGCAAAAGCTTTATGATTCTTATGCCTCCAAGTATGGTTCTAGTGCAGCTAGCTTTGTGCAAGAATCTGAACCTAGAACTGCTAGAACTTCTAGAACTTCTCAGTGCTATGTGGATTTAAATGAGGAGCAAAAGAGAAAAAGATTAAGTTCATTTCTAAGGGACAACACTGAACCTAGCCAAGAGCAGACTGACTTCGAGCAATATATCAAAGATCCATTGCTGACTTGGAAAGAAGGTGACTATTTTGACATTTTGAGCTGGTGGAAGACCCATAGTACAAAATATCCTATCCTTGGTCGACTTGCAAGGGATGTTTTAGCTATTCCTGCATCAACAGTAGCATCTGAATCAGCATTCAGTGCTGGAGGAAGAGTTGTTGACAAGTATCGCATCCGTTTGGACCCTCAAGTTGTTGAGGCCCTTATTTGCTCCAAGGATTGGATAAGAGCATCAAGGGAAGGTAATTGTTGCTACTTACTTCTCAGTACTGTAAATTTTGTATGTCCATTTGATAAATTATTTATTGCTGATTTCTCCCATGTAATTTTGCTTATTTATTTCAGATCAAAGTGGTGTAGCTTCAATTCTTGATGATTTGGCTGGTCTTGCTACAAATGACGAAGCTGAACAAGATGAAGGTATTTGAGCTATTAGACCTCATATTGTTAATTTTAGAAACTCAAATTTATTTATTTGTTCATATAATCATTTGTGTTATAGGTGATCATGTTGATGGTGATGCTGCTCACATCATTGTGGATCAGGAAGAAATTTAGGATTGCTCTTTCTTTAGGATTGCTCTTTCTCACAACATTGTTGTTTGACTTTGTTTCATTTTGATTTGGTGTTGTATGAACTATTATCCCTTTTGATTTTAAATCATTCGATCTAGGAGTTTACTGTTAATGTACTTTAGTTTAATTCGTTTTACATATCTATTGATATTTTATCCATCAAGGTTGAATTTTAGGATATTTACTTCAAGTTAATTTGCGCAAATATCCGAATGCGAATCCGTATTCGAGACATTCGTTTTGCATTCGTATCCGATAGCACCCGCATTCGTATTCGTATTCGAAATAAAATGTGGTAAATAGTGCTATCCGTATTCGATTCCATGCGGATCCGATCCGAATCCATCCTTATATGTTGGTGCTCTCCATGCCTATGATTGGTTGAAACGGATTATTACGTTACAGACTAGCAGCAATCAAATCAATAATAAATAGCAATAAAGTCTCAATCGGTGTGAACGATGGAAGCATTTGTGTGGATGAGGAAGCAGTGAGGTAAATGATGTATCTTTTACTCTTATAAAGCAAAACCTCACTAGCTATTTATGTAAATATGCAAGCTGTCCAACTAGACAATGCACTACCACATAGAATTAAATCAACTAAGCAAAACTCCACCAGCTATTTACCTCAACATGCAGTTTTGGATTGTTCTATTAGATTTGAATTGTTCTATTGGATATCCATTATGTGCGCACTTCAGCCCTAAAAAGGTAAAGGATGCAGTTTTGGTTAATTATCTTTTAAAAGTCTATGACGATGTATGAAGTATGAACTAAGTTCAAAGTCAACTTCACCAAAATATTACAGTATACTCAAAGCAAACTGACAAATACAAATAGTCGGTAATTGCAAACTTTCTTTTGCAAAAGTTTAAAATATGGAAATAACATGAGAAATTGACTAAAATTTATACATGTGTTGTATTCAGAATTTACATATTTTTGTATTTGACTTGACGAACAGAAAACATGTGATAGATGTTGTTGCCTTTACTCAAAATTCGAACAAATATCCATGACCAACGTTGTCAGGATCCAGTTTGTTTATTCGTATATGTAATGGAAACAAATTGCATTTGTATTCATATCTAATTTCAATGAATATTGTGTAACTAATATTCACACACTACTAGAAACCAAAATTTCCCTGTCGGTGTGATATCAATAGGGAAATAAGGAATTCCAACAGAAAAATTAAAAATTAGTTTCTCTATCAGTACATTGACAGACAAATACCGACAAAACAAAACGACAAAAAATATATTTGCCTATAGGGGTAACAATTTTCCTATTGACATACCAGTTCTCCTGTCGGTACAGCATTGACAGGAAAATTCCTTGCCACTGACAGGAGAATTCCTAGACACCAGGTCTAGAACACTATCTCTATCACAAGTAACCGACAGAGGTGACAGGGAAATGTGAACTACCATCAGGAAAAACTACTTTCATTTATCATCAAAACAACACATTACCAAATAGAAAATTGAAATTCATGGAACTTTCTCAAATTAATTTGGATCATTTAGATAGCAGGAATGGTCATTTCACAAATCATATTACATAGGGCACACATGGATAGATTCAAAATGATATAAAACAATCCATACATGTCGATAAATTATTAAGTTCAACAGTGTTGGTATTCCTTAGCATCACTACTAGTAATGACATTTAAGAAATACTTTTGGTATTTTAATGTGACTTAGAAAGATATGGAATTCTGCAAGCACACAGATATACCATTGTAGCACTTTACCTGGGAGTATTCCAGGTATCGTTATTTATATTTCTACCTCAGGGAAGGACCGGTAAAGTAATATTGATAACTTATACTTATGATGAATAAGTAAACCAAGCACTTCCTCTAAACAGGGGTAAATCAAGAGATAGAATAATATATAAATGATAAATGCAACACTCAGAGTACTCCATAAGATAGCAATAGCAAATCTAAGTAGATTAATTCCTAAGTTATTCTAGTCACAAGTCAAAGCCTACTTTGATGTGCATATATACTTAGCAATAGTTAAAGATTAACTTCATATCTACGCATAAGGGACATTACTAAGGAAAATCAAGAACAGAGCCTGACTTCCTTCGCAACTGAGAGGTGGACTACAAAGGACTCGACGAGGCCGTCACCCTCGCGATCTACCACATGATCCGGAATGTAGGGTGCATCCGCAGGTAAACAATGTTTAAGCACCACGCTTACACAAATGTTGACCACTCACCCCGTTCGAACATAAGAGTGAGCGCTTTGCGATCCTTTGCATAAACATAATGATAACTCTAACTCTACCAAGCATATAATCAAAGTAAAACATGAACATGACAACTAAGAATATGAAGAACAATGTCATAGCAAATGTATGAATAATAAAGGATACAAGAGGCTATACCAAGCCAAGCTCTTGACAAGATCAGGAATCCAAACGGGGAGCTTGTCTCTCTAGATCTAACTTAGCTAGCTATGCCTATGAATATTTGTGTTGAGAGCTCTGAGGTTGTAGTCTCTTCTTGATTCAGATGATCAACTCCAATTAGTGTAACACCCTAAAATTTTCTTCTCTTGAAATAGAGCTAAAATGATTTAATTTTGTATTTTTATGTTCATGAAAACATGGGGAAATAATAAATTTTCATTAGATTAAAATTTATTTTAAGGTAGAAACATGTTTGTTGCATTTATGACGGTCGCACCTTGTGTTTCTGTGTGCAAAATGTGTTTTTTTAAAATACGTTTAGGAGACAAATATCTATCTCTAGAAAATTTTCAGATTCTTTCTAGAATATGATTCCTACCTCCTTTACCTTAATCTTTATGTTCCAAGTTCCCAACAATCTTTTCATGAGCTCCAAATACTTTATTTGGGTTCATCAGGTTCCAAAGTGTCTCTGGGAATTTTCTCCCAAATTTTCGGAGGTCTCAAAGTATTTTTCATGTCTTAAATATCAATTCTGGACTTTTCTAGAATTATTTTATTCATGAAATTAATTAATTCCGATAAATAATATATCTCATTTTCTAACCAACTCTCAAAGCCCATGTGCAATAATCCTAATAAGTCTCAAAGGCCCATGCATTTATTTACTAATGGGCTCTAATAATTATTTTGGTCCATTAGTAAATGTGGAGGGTGCAATATCAATTAGTACCATATTGCTAGTTGATGTAGACGTGGGGAGTTTTTCTCTCTATAAATATGTACCAACCCCTTGGGCAAAGTACACCAAAACTATCGTAAGGGAGCCCCTAGTTTGGGAAATCCCTCGTGTAGTAAATTAGATTTTTCTCCTCCTTCTCTCGCCGTCGTCGTCGCCGTCGCCGCCGCGCTGCCCAACACCGTAGACCCACCGTCAACTACAAGAAGGCCTTACGTGAGTTCGCCATCTTCTCCTCTTGTTCCCTGTGCTCTCGGCTGGTCAAACCGTGGCCTCTAGGGCCCAAACCGAGCGCTCCGGGTAGCTTCTCGCCGCCGGTAATAGAGCTCCACCGCGCCGGTTTTCCTCTCCGACCGTTGACTCTCTCTCCCCCTCCTTTCTAATCAGGGTCGTCCAGATTCAATCCAACCATCCAAGATCGCCCGTACCCCTTTGTCGGGTTTATTTGCAAAAGAGCCCCTACAGTTTCGTGTAATATAACCCGTAGTCCATGGCGCACTTCCAGAATACGTTTTTCTATTCTGAAAGCGTAGTTTCTTTCTCATAGATTCAGAGTACGTTTTCTCTTTCAGAATACTATATAATATAATCCGTAGTCAAGAGGTTGGCCGCCTCGGGCAAAATGTTAAATCACGACTCACAGTGAAAGTGTACAACCTCTGCAGAGTGTAAAACTGGTATATTAGTCGTGCTCACGGTCATGAGCGGCCTTGGACCCTTATGGAATAGATGATGAACACTAATGATACAGATGATTAAGATGCCCACTAAATATTACTATTTATGCTATTCATTATTCATGTTTACCTGATCATGTGTTTATGTGGGCTTGTGGATAAACTTGTTGCCACCCTGTTGCTAAAATCATGACTCATTAGAAGCTAATCGCAGTTAACCAGTGTCAGCCTTTTGAGCCTCATGAACCTCATATTATATTTGTTGAGTACGACATGTACTTACGCTTGCTTTACTTTTTAAATCTTTGGAAAAATCCCGGATAGGTACCAGATTGCTAGCCTAGAGGAGTTAGGCTTGTGATCAACCAGTCAGTTGTCCCTGTGGAATTGAAGTCTTCACCCGAAGATCGGAGTTGTCTTTCCACTGTTTGCTGTCTAAGGTTATATCTTTTATACTAAATACGTTATATATTGAGCATTGTCTTTTGATATTACTCTTATTTGTAGCTATATGTGAGATTTGACTTTCTGGGCTCACATATGGTGTGTATATGGTTTTGTTCTTAAAACCAGGTGCTACAAATCAACATGATGCACATGGTAACTAGAGCCCAAAACCACACTAGAAACCTCTTACACATGAATGACACACAGCAACCCCCATCTTAGCCAAAACTCATATCCACACACTTGATCTTCGTTGGTGATAATTTCACGGATCGTCCGTGAGGATCCATGGACCATCCGTCTATAATTAAAATTGATTTCTAGAGAACCCAAGAGCACCCAGTTCAAGACGGAGGGTCCGTCGGTAATGACGGAGTGTCCGTGAGTCACAAATCACCCAAAATGCCTAAGTCCTATCACCATGCATCATTCCGTGTGACCATCTATGAATCTACAGAACATCCGTCAAATATGTCGGAGTGTCCGTCAGTTCACCCAGAGCCCAACCCAAACCTATTAACCTCGGGTAAGGTATTCACGGAGTGTCCATCGAATACTGTATAATGTTAAAATGTTTAAGACTTAACCCAAGGACTCAACCAACCTCTTCTAAAATCAATTAAGAACTTGTGAACCCCCAGTCTATCAATGGTTGATCATCTCTTGTTCAAATTATTATTAACACTCA